GTTGTTTTAATTATGCGGTTGTTTATTATTATGACAAATGTTTTTGACCAAAGGCTTGATACTAGAAACAAACTGAGGTTGGTTTATTTGTTTTTTAACTTGCTGTAAATTTTAAAAGTATGTGGGTTGTTTTGTTTTGAATAAAACATGCAGCTCTAATAAGAGTAGGGTCATTTTTTAAAAGCATGCGTAGATAACAATTTTTATTTGAAGGGTATTTTAAAATTGGATAAAATTATTTTGCTTTGTTTTTCCATACCAAGACACACTGGACTGACTTGTTGGGAGTTGAAATAAGCATTACACCTACAGGCCTCTAACAACCCAAGAAACAACAAACAGCCTGCAGAAAGTAGATAGCAGAATGCTTGTGCATGGAAAAGATAAGACTCATTCTAAGAAGACAGCAGAAAGGGTGTCAGCAGCAAATAACACCTCGCTGATGGCTTCCTGGGGCAGGTGCCATTCACAGCGCACAAGAGTCAATTCTCAGGGGTTTGACCTCATCATGTAAAAAAATGCAGATTATTTCAATACATTTGCCTGAAGCTCTTCAAGGCAGGAGGAGAAGAGGCTGGCAGGCAGTTTTGCTACCACAGTGGTATGGGGAATGCTGGCTGAGGCTTGGCAAGGAATAAAAGGCATCAGTCTTCTGAGAGGAACCATCCCAAAGAGGCCACCTGCTCCCCATGAGTCCAGCTGATGTTGAATACTGCCCACGTTATTGCTGTCCACTAGCCCACCTAGAGTTTCGGCCTTCATTAAATGCAGTTTTTTTAAAACAAATTTAAAATGGCAACATAAGCTGTCTTCTAGTTTTCCCTTTGGATTTTATTTTCATCTCACAAGGACTTGCTTTTGAATAGGACTCACTGTCTAAGTGCTAGAGAAGTGAATCTCAAGGTAGGATCCAATAATCAGTGATATCAGAATCATCATGGACTGGGGAAAAAAATGCATATTCCTGATCCCCAGCCTAGGCCTCCTGATGCAGTTAAGCCCCTCTCCAATTTGCAAGCTGTTGTTATTATTATTATTATTCATAAAGATTTGAAGTTTCAAGGCAGTGGGATTCAAGTATCTTATTCATTTTTGACCCCTTAACCAGAGGACTGGCATACAAGAGCCAGTTAAATAAAATAAAGGAATAGTAGTAGAATTTCAGACACTAGTACTATTCAGGCCATTCTATGCCCCACAAATACACTTTCTAGCCAGCAATACAAGGAACTCTGAGTCTACAGGTGGGAACAGCTAGTTCACAGTAATGCTCCAGGTTCTCAGTCAGGTAGTGACCATGAAGCCTTAGGCTCTTATGACTTGCACCAGGAACAGTGCAGTGACTCCCTTATGCCTACTTCCTAAGAAGGAAAGAGAACCACACGGGGAAATATATTCAGTTCTAGATATGAACAAATGATTGGAGAGGAATTATCTCAGAGGAATTACCTAAGTAGGTAGTTGTACATTTCTAGCCTCTTCCAAGAGGAAGGTTTCTAGATAGCCTACTTTTTACAATTTTCATCTGAGTTTTGTCAGTTACTTTTAGTGGCTAGACACCACACTGTTTATAGTTTAAATGGCCCGGATAGAATACCTAACAGGAAAATATTTTAACCTGTAACTGATTTAAGGGTACAAAAGCTAAAACAAACTCAATAGTTAATCTTAAATTTGAGACATACTTTATATACTTTTAAGCATGCTCACAAATAGGATAGTCACAATTTTAAGATAGAATCACTAATGAGCATTCAATATAGTTGATCATGGGGAACTAATTGACCCCTTTTCTTCTCTTCCTCTATTTTACATCCTAATTACACCTTGCCAGTACAATATTCCAAAGCTTATAGGACACAATGAAAGCAGTCCTACAAGGGAAATTTACAGCAGCAAATTCTCATATCAGAAAAACAGAGCGAGTTCACATAATCAACCTAAGATATGAGGGCGATCTGGCTGTGACATGTCATCCCACTACCAACAGGGTTGATTCAGGTGTCCCCTTCCTCCCTTACCATTCCATATGTGTCCTTTCCAAAGTTGCACACTCAGTCAAAGAGGAAGACCAGCCCTGATAGAGGAGGACCATTTCCTTGGTCAAGGATATATGAGTAGCCGTGCTCCCCTGCAAGAATCTCCAAACAAGCTATCAAATAAACACCCTGATGTTGAGCCGCAAGCTTCTAGAAAAAGCAAAGCAAGTCAACAAGCTTGTGTGAGAAAGGAAATTATAAAGATCAGGGCAGAAATTTATACAATGGAGACTAAGAAAATACAAAGAATCAACGAGTCAGAGAGTTGCTTCTTTGAAAGATTAAATAAAACTGACAAATTCTTAGTGAATATTTTCTTTCCAAAAAAGGGAAAGAAAAGGCTCAAATCCATGCAATTACAAATGAAAAGGATGAAATCACAGCAGATTCTGCAGAAATCCAGATCACAAATAAATTCTTCGAGAACCTCTATTCTAATAAGATGAAAAACAGAGAAGAAATCAACAGATTCCTAGATACATATGAATGGCTAAAGCTGAATCAAGAAGATATAAAAACCAATATCAATCAAAATTATTGATGTAATTAAAACTCTTTCAACAAAGGAAAGTCCAGGCCCTGATGGATTCATGGCTGAGTTCTACAAGAAATTTAGAAAAGATTTAGAGCAGCTACTTCTCTAGTAAATTGAAAGGGAAGTAATACTCCCAAATTCATTCCTAGAAACAAAAATTACCTTGATACAACCAGAGATGTAGCTCAGTGGTTCCGCTACCTGCCTCACAAGCACAAGGTCCTGAGTTTGATCCCCAGTACCAAAAAAAAAAAAAAAAAA